CCACATTCAAGAACTTTGATCTTTGAGTCCTTTACAGAGAGGTCTATAGATTCACCATAGACTTTAGACTCAGGATGTCAGTAGAGTGTTATATTAATAACCGTCGCATCTTATCAGTGATCTTGATTTGTTATCAGTTCGTATGGGAGAGGCGTTAACAAAACAGTATTTACACTTTTATCTAGAGGAAGTATAAGCAATAAATGAGAACACAGAGTTTTTCTTGCCGTTTGTTTCAGAAAATCACAACGCTGTATTTGCCAATGCTGGCTTTGACGATGTCCGTCCATACAAGTACTGGGACGCAGAGAACAGAGGCCTCGATTTGGCTGGTTTCCTTGGAGACTTGGAGGTGAGCAGTGTGTGACAGGGACTCTGGCACTGCTTAACTCTTGTCGTCAGTCATTTCCATTAGGAGCTTACACTACTTCCTCTTCTCTGTTTCCCCCAGAGTTGTCCAGAGCACTCCATCTTTGTCCTGCATGCCTGTGCCCACAATCCAACTGGCACAGACCCCACACAGGAGCAATGGATGCAGATCGCCGACATTATGATGGTAATATACACGTACATGGACACAATCAAACAAACACATTGTCTGAACTGTTGTCTCAACTATCTCCACCCACATTAAGTGTCTAGTTTAAACAGGACATGGTTTTGCATGTTTAATGTTTATCATGTTGTGCTGGTTGTTTGATCTTTTATCCTGTTCTTTTCCAGAGGAGGAAGCTGTTTGTGTTCTTTGACTCGGCTTATCAGGGATTCGCCTCAGGCAGTCTGGAGAAAGATGCCTGGGCGGTCCGCTACTTTGTCTCCATGGGCTTTGAAATGTTCTGCGCCCAGTCATTCTCCAAGAACTTTGGCCTCTACAGTGAGTGACCCCTGAGTGCATTGAGGTGTACATCACTTCAGTGATACAGTGACATTCTTTGTATTGTCTTTAATCACAATGACAGTCACAAAGTACTTCACAAACCATTGCTTTTTTTTAAAAAACCGATTGAACTTATACAGTGAACGATATAAGTATATACACATACTTACTGAAGAGTGGAAATTGTGCACAAAGGAATAATCTAAATCCACACCTGTCGTATTTTCAAGCATGAAAAAATACTGTTTACGATCAACATATACAGCAGATAGCTAAAACTCAGTTTGCTAAAAGGTAGCAGCAGCAGTTTAGACTGGTTCTGTAAATAAATTAGCAAATATATTGTTTTATGTTTGACACGCGTTCGTCCCATCAGATGAGCGTGTTGGCAACCTGACCGTTGTGGCTCAAGATGCAGACAACCTGAAGCGAATTCTGTCCCAGATGGAGAAGATTGTCAGGACCACTTGGTCCAACCCACCATCTCAGGGAGCTCGCATTGTCGCCATCACTCTGAACTCACCTGAACTCTTTAGTGAATGGTCAGCACAAAATATCTTGAACACTCAAAGCATTGCATGAGGTATGACAATAATAAATGTATTTACTGACTCTTTTCTATGTCTTTGACTCTAGGAAGGACAACGTGAAGACCATGGCTGACAGGGTCTTGTTGATGAGGGCTCAGCTGAAAGCTAAGCTCCAAGCTCTGGGGACACCAGGGACCTGGGACCACATCACAGAGCAGATTGGCATGTTCAGCTTCACAGGCCTCAACTGTGAGTACAAAGACCATATTCAGAGTTGTTACAGTTAATAAAATTATATTTATGTTTGTTTTTAATTTTAGTTTTCAACTCAGTTTAGTTTCAGTTAGTTTCCAGAGTGGGTTTGCTCATTTCAGTTTAGTTTTTGTTGTTTAAAAATGTTTAGTTTTTATTAGTTTCAGTATTAGTTTGAGTATGTTTATCATAATATAGAGGGCATTTGTCAGGGGAAAGATGTAAGAAGTTCAGAATAGGTATTAGAATACAAACACGTCATGTAGACAGTCTCAAATAAACATATGCACAATGCCTCCTCATGCTTGCTGTATTGATAAATGTGACCAAACTGACAAAGATTAAAACTAAAGACATTGCCTATATTTTCATTTACTTAGTTTTTTAAGTACACAAAATAATTTTATCTAGTTTTTATTTTGGTTAACTAGAATGTTTTTTCACACCTAGTTTTAGGTTTTAGTTTAGTTTTAGTGAACTATAATAACCTACTGGCACATACACAGCTCAGCACAACCACCACACACACATCCCCATAGAAACCAGTATATTTAGCGTTGCAATTGGACAGGAAATGCTGAACTCAACTGTATCATTTTGGGGGGAAAACCCCAGTGCCTTTAAACACTATTTGAAATCTGGTGAAAATTAAAACATTGTAAAACAAAAAGCTAATACTAAGATCACCACAGCTATGAAAATCTAACCCATAAAATTACCAAACTCATTTAGATTCTACAAATCTCAGAAGAATTACAAATTCAGTGTGCACTACTTTAAGCATTCAGGTATTTTAGCATTTGTTCACAATACTGCATGATATATTTCCCTTTGACACTCACAAAGATCTTTACATCATCACTGAATAATTAAATCTGGTTCTGCTCTATTTCCTGCAGCCAAACAAGTGGAATATATGGTGAAGGAGAAACACATCTACTTAATGGCCAGTGGTCGCATCAACATGTGCGGTTTGACCACCAAGAACATAGACTACGTGGCTGAGTCCATCCACGAGGCTGTCACCATGGTCCAGTAGAAGACTACACTACCCATAGTTCACAGCTCTTCCTCCAGCCCAGCCCTGAGCCAACTGATTCCAGGGAAAGTGTTTGTATCCAGCAGATTTCCTGGAGCAAACATAAACTCTCGTTTCCACAAATGTACAGACAGCCCTCGGCACACTGGCTCCTGTTTCCCCCTCTTTCAGTGTTTGTGCTAAGCTAGGTTAGCATCTTGGACCGATTTCTGTCTGAACGCACAAAAAGACGCACAGATATTCATCCTTTTATCTAATCCCTGCTAGAACAGCAAATACAGTAATTAATTGTGTTTATAATTTGTACCTCTGTTTACTTTGTGTTGGTCTCCTACTTGTAGTGTGTGTACTTTTTACATGCAGTGCACTGTTAGTTTATATATCATTACCAGGACATTTGAGAGGGTTAGTACATTTGTGACTGTGTTACAATGACCTCAGCAGTGCTGACTCCCTCTGTCCCGCTGTTATGATTCATCCATTCCAAGTGTTAATGACACATTTATTTAGCCTGCATTAATTAGCATGTGTGATTAACCGATGTTAAGAACACTTGAAAAACAGAATATTAACATGACCAAACTGACTTAGTGTAGCTTTAATTGCAAGGAAGTAGTAAATGTCGTAAATATTTACCACCTCTTATCATGAATGAAGTAGCAGTATTGCACTGATTGCTGGGTGCAATGTGAACAAGAGCTGAGTGTTCTCAGGAAGATATTTTTAACTTGAACTATGTAATTTATTAATGATACTGTCTTACGCCCAAAGGTGGTATACTAATTACCTCACTTTTAATCTGTATTAGCGGAGCACAAATGGCACTGAACGAACAGGTTTCGTGGCTCCGAGTGTACTCTTCTGTTTTCTGCTGTCCTGTTGGGCACCTCTCAAGTGAAGGTTGAGTTTGCTCAATGATTGTCTGTTCGTAGCATTAGTGCACTATTATGCAAGGTCCTCATTTAAGTGGCACAAACACACTAATGATCAACCAGTTTGATATCGTATCACTGTGCACAGTACACCAATAAAGTTTAGTCATGTTTAGAAAATGGATTCAAGCTGAAAATGTCCTCACCAGACAGTCTAATGAGATAAATGAACTCCTCTAATAAATAACTTTAAACAGTGTGTATGTATTGTTGTCACATACGTTAAAATTGATGTGGGTTTAATGATAAGGTTGGCATTCGTGACCATAGAGTAAAATAATGCAGTGTCCACACTTTATAGTAGACAAATATAAATGGTGGAGAAAAAACAAAGTAGACAAGAAAAATATTTCAGTCATTTAATTATCCTTTGTGTAGATCATATAGCCTGTCTCTTGATATCTTTGGGTAACTTATATAATCATCTGAGTTTTACAATACAAAATGTACCTTTTTATCCCGAACAGTTTATCAAGCCTTACAAATATAAATCGGTGTTAACTAACTGCAAAATCAGCATTCAGCTGAGAGCTTCTGATTCACACCAAATCCTCTTGTCTGAGTCGGTTGTCAGATCAAAAGACTTCCTGCTGCATGTTCTGTGTACATAGAAGGGTCAATGTGAATAGCTTAGCAGTGCAGTATCCTTTGTACTTCCATAGCCTTACCAAGCAGAATCAATTATATCACTGAGTGTCCCCAAACACCACCTGTGTGTGTCTGTGTGTGTTTGAAGGGAGGTGGTGGCTTGACGTCAGCGTGCGTCATATTGCTTTCCTCTATCATATCTCTATCTCTCTCTGTTCTGTTGAGCAGTGTACCTGCCCAGATTTCACAATGCAGAGCAGCTTAGTCCACCCTGAGCTGCAGCTGCCACTAAAAAGGATCAAATCATTTCATTATTGCAGTAAATAGCTGATTTCTAGAACAATGGCTTAAACGTTTCCTTCGGCGAGCAGCATTCTATGGCCTCCTCCACCTCCCTCTTCAGTAGATACACTTGGACGCTTTTTTGGTCGCCTTGTGTCTTAATAGCAACAGTTAAAACATAAAAACGGCCTTTAATGAAAATCGCAGGCTTGTTGTTTTGTGTTTCTTTGTTATCCTGCAGTATTTATCGTACCTATGTGCACTGCACCTCTGTGGGGAGAAGTTACTGCAGACTGGTATCATCCTATTCATGCATCCCTTTACTTAAGCATGCATATGGAAACACAAGGCTTCTTTCTACAGAGGATAATTCTACAGCAAAAGCAGCATAAACAAACATGCAGGTAGCAACTACTCCTTGTCAATAATACTCAGAATTTGGATCTCGAGACCCAAAGACACACCCCCCCCCAACCCCTAGCTTATTTTTAAATGGTGTATGCAGCTTTAGTGACCGACCTTGTGAGAGATGAACTGTACATAGAAAAGTGGCTAATATGGTAGCTAATGGTATGAAGTTGATCGCTCCTAAGTTTTCTAGGGAATGCAATCAAACATGGGTTTGATGATTTTTTTAAAGGTGGTAATATCAAGAGAAAAGGTGGATAAGTGAGTGTTTGTTTGAGAGAAACACTAAAACTGTCCATACGGCTACATATGCAGAGAAAAGGGGATGTTCTAATGGAAAGAGACATACCAAACTGACTGTATGAAAGACACATGCATTTATGTAGGAATGATGCGTTTACTGAATGTATGCAGGTGTGGGGTTTTGTGGTGATAAATTCAAGCCATTTACAGTTTGTAAGATGACTTATATTGCTATCTTTAAATCACTTTTAGTAATTCAGACACTGCTATATAAAAATCAGGTAAGAAATTGTGTTATTTTCTAGTACGGGTATTTTCAAAATCGTGCATACCCCTCTAGACTTGCTGAGAGGTCAGTGTGTACAATAAGTAGTCATTCAAGCTGAGAATTAATTTATGGCTTTTCATAAACGTGTTCTTTTAATCTAGTGTAAAAGTTGTGCTCTTGTCTGGTGGCTTTTTCTTCTTAGCCAAGGGCTAGTGTGTCAGGTTGTCTTGGCAGTAGGCGACACCCTTATGGCAACATTAGGACAGTTCCCTGTGCAAACAACATTTTCAGTATGTGGGAACTGCCTCATAATAACAAATAAATAATAAATACTATTCGTTGTTTGATCAAGTAAAAGGTCAAAGCTGGCTCAGATATTATCTAAGGACCTTGTTGAGAGATTGTGTAGAGTCCAGATTAAGTGCAGGCAGAGTCTGTTATTAAATTACAAGCTATGCTGCTGTTTCAGTTCACATTATGGCTCAAATGACATGATTCAATGTTAACATTATGGATAGAGCTACTATAAAAAGGTGGACAAGCTTTGCCCTGTTTACTACAAAACCTGCTGAGATCAATACAGTCCAGTGTAAGGCTAGATAAATCCAATACTATATTGTTTAGATTTGTCCAATGAGTTTTTTTTTTTTTTCTACAGATCCGTCCCACTTTAAGGGTGTGAAGTCAGGCAGAGGTGGGACATTGTGCCAGTGGGGACCTGAGTATTACTGGTGGCTACAACAGATAAAATGGCTCAATCTCCTGTGAGAGATTATGTGAAGGGATGGTTGTGTTTAGTTAGGAAAACCAGTGAACGATAAAGAAGAAGAAGGTGTGCGCTTCACCCCTCTTCCTCTGTGTCACTGTGCTAGCTCGTCACTGGCAGCTGCTCTGAACCTTCCTCCAAACTTTTGTCTCCATCCCGAGACTTTTTCCTCCTCTTGTTACCTAGAAAAAGAGGAGAACATGCTGAAATTCAGGTAAGTCATTACTGGTTTAAATGCCTGGCTGAAACTGTTTCATCTTGCTTTTCTCCTCCTTACATTTGCTTTACTGTGAACAAAACTCCCACAGGACTGTTGTTAAACCTCACATTTACCATTAACTGAAATAACATCAGCTGCACTAGGCAACACAGCTACTGCCTCAAATGAATAAATAAAAGTAAATGAGTCATATTGTATCCAAGCCAACAGGGACAATTGCATCTGGAGAATCTGCTCTGCCGGAAGGAGTAGGTTGCAGCGAGGGACACGTTATCTGTTGCTAAGATACACCAGGCACTGTTCCTGCGTCTGACAGAAAAGTTTGCGCACATCTGACGGTATGTGTGGGTGTAGTGTCGCATCGTGTTCAGCGTGACAAATGGCTCACTCACTCAGTTTACGCAATAGCTTCTTCCCAATGTTCTCATCAGAGCTGGACAGAGACAGAGAGCTGATGAAGGGAGAAGTGGATGGCTGAGACTCTGTAGGCACATCTGAGGGAGGAAGTTTAAGAGACGAGAGGGTAAGTTGGAGGTGATACAGCAGAAACAGATGGAGTGAATGAGGGTAAATAACCTTCAGACCTACAGTGATATGTAGATGTTTTAGTCAATGTATCGTGACTACTTATGATTCAAATCTTATGGAACAAACAAACAAATTAAACAGAGGATCAAACTAAAGGTCACTTTTGAGTTTTAACTAAGAAAAGTATTCAAGATTCATGAGCCTGTTTTTGGGGTGGGTGGAGCAGCACTCACCATCCTCTCCATGATTTTCCGGTCGGTCCTCATGGATGTAGGGAATCTCATCCATACGGAGGAACACAGTATCGTTGGGACTCCTCTGCCCATCAGATTTACTGCCTGTAAAGACAGAATTAGACCAATCACACCAAGTGGCCACATAACAGCAGCTGGTTTGTAGCTCTGCCTATAGAGGGAGGTAGAGAACTTGTTTTTATCAGTCAGTGCTTTTTTTTAGTGTCCAGTAAGAAGTTAAATATGAGTGGTAACCAGGGTTAAAAGCATGAGGTTTTCCATTCCACTTAATTGCTAAAATCTGTGGTGTTGTGTTTGAATATAAAAACTGGCGGTATTTAACTGGACGCTTCTCTATTATTGACAACCAACAGAACCATCTGTGCAGTAATTTTTCTTAATGACAGTAACGCAAACACACACAAACTGGGTAGCGTGTTACACACAGCGTAAGACAGATGGTATGTGGGAAATCCTTTAAGCCTTGAAACCAATACAGATTGGTTGATGCCACGTTTGCACCACTTTTGTGAGTGAGTCACTATGGAACTTTTATGGATTTATTTATTTACTGATAAATGTCTTTGGGACTTTTTCACAGGATTTATTATCATTGGACCCGCCAGTCATCAGATAATGAATTTTCAGGTTGCCCCTGACCAGTCAGAGTATCCAATAGTTACATTTATCACGTATGTCTTCTGTCAGACAGGGTTTGGCCCTTTGCCCACAAAGCCCTCCAATCAGTGTGTTTGATCCTTTGAACCCCCCCTTTCATCCTCTTCAAAGAAGTCTCTACCAGTACAATGAATCGTGAAATTCACACGGAGGCTCATGGAGCCAGATCATCATTTACATTTCAGGGAGTTGGTGTTGCTCTTATCCATAGAGACTAACAGTGAGTACAAAAGCAGAAACCACCAGTTACATGTAGATAAAACTGAGAAATGTTGCCTGAGTAAAGGGCTTATGGAGTAACTCACAAAGCTAAGAAGGGAAATAAATGTGTTTGAGAGGGAATGGAGGATCACTGTGTGAGGAGATGGTGATGTCGGGTACTAAAAGATTTTTATCCCACATGTTGACATCTCACCACACCATGGTGAGAAGGACATGGGAATTAAGACAGAAACAATCACCAATATTACCATAAATCAGTTTGTACATCAAACTAAATTCATGTTGTACAGCACAGCCAAAAATATTGATTAATATACTCTCATCATCACTTCTAAGAATTGTGCACCTACTAAAGAGCCACAGAGTACAAGTCTCAACTTTCCTTACAATGACATTTCATACATGCATGTTTCAGCTGCAACTCCGAAATCATTGGATGCTGTCAATCATTCTGCACTAAGATTTATTACTGGTGATAATTAATACACATCACTGTGACCTGTATGCTAAGGTTGGGTGGCGCTCTTTCTCTCTATTTATAAGGCCCTGATTATTTACCCCTTTGTATTACTTTGTTGCTGCCTTTTAATGTCGGCCCTTATTGAACATGCTCAAAGAAGTTATATATATATATATATATTTTTACTGACCTTGGAAAATCCATTCTTTCATTCTGTGCACCTTCAACCTGGCATAACATGCAGAACAATCTTACCTACTTTCCTTAGGGCAATTGAAATTATTATTTTTTACTTATTTGTATTTCTTGGGACCTAGGAACTTTTGTGTAATTTAATTTAGTTAAGTAATTTTTTCAGGATTTTGTGCCTTTGGCTGAAGGTAGACAAGAAATGAAAGAGGGGATGACATCCCACAAAGGGCCACAGACTGGAAGCAAACCCAGACTGCTGCGGTAAGGAGTGCATGGGGTGTGAGCTCTACCAGATGAGCTAGTGCACTGCCCTAGTATTTATTTATTTATTTGTTACTATATTGTAAATGGGGTCTCTACCTCAATGTATTCGAGTTAAAGTAAAGGTTGAATGAATAAATGAATATGTAGATTAGGGCTGTCTATAAAGTATATTTGTGTCAGCCTTCATGCTAAACTGAAGTCGACCAACATTGTAAAACGGTTTCCATCAGCTTTTTTTTCTTGTGTCAAATGTCCTCTGAAAACAGTGTTTAAACCTTGGAACTCAAATACTCTGCACTGAAATTCACACAAAGGAAATTATTTCAGAGTTAGACACTGGCCAAACTTCCTAAAGCTCAAAATGTAAAAAATATTTTTACAGTTGGAGAGAAAAGCAGCAGTCACGTTGTAAAAGGTGGAATTTATAAATGTTTGGCATATTTGCTTGAAAAATAAATAATTGATTGATCAGAATTGTAGCAGATACATTTTCATTTGGATTGATTGATTAATTGACAAATAATTTTAGCAAGTTAAATCAACCCACCATAATAATATAAACATAATTTGTACAGTCAATGTTAAGAAGCATCTACACTACTTACGAACGATGCGGTTTCTCTCATTGAGCTGGGAGGTGTTGCGAAGGCCACCGTGGGGATGGAGATGTGCAAGGCGTGCCAGCCCCAGTCGAGTGTGTGTGTGTGTGAGGGGGAGGGCGATGCTGTGTGAGCGGGCCTCTGGGACCGGAGGCCTCCCTTTAGCATCAGGATCCACTGGGTCCGGTGTCTGTGGGGAGCTGTCCATTCTAGTGGCCGTGAGGGCGTTCTGGTAGTGGTTCCTGGTGATCTGTTTGGAAACAGAAAGCAGGTATTATCATCAGCATTAGATCTGTGTGTGCATGCACGGCCGCCTTTATGCCTATATAACCGTACATGTGGACAGGATGGAACATGGACTGTACTGTAGAAAGTGGAGGAGAGGTAAAGTGAAAGGGCACATCCATCATTTAGGGCTAAAATATTCATGGTTGAAACGGAACTCAATTATCCTCAGTGATTAAAGGAAAGAGGGTGAATGCAGGGGAGAGCGAGAGACAGGATGTCTGTGTTCAGTCAGAATCAGGGATTAGGACATATCAAAGGCAAACGCAGCAGCAGAGGAAGAGTTCACATTTTCTGGGAATTTCGAAGATTAAATGGAGGGGCTTAAAAGTATAGTTGCTTGCTTGTGCTCCCAATTTTTTTTTTTTAACCTCAAGTGTGCAGGGAATTTTACATTTAATTGAGTTCATAATAACAGTGGCTGATGTTTTTTTCATACGTTTTTTGTGTCGTGTGTGGAAGCGTTTATGCTTGTAACCTTGATAATCTGCAGGTCCGTGAGCTGTCGGACTGAGTAGTCGGGTAAGTAGACCCCTCCTCCTGTAGTGAGCTGACCCACACTGCCTCCACTCAGTAATAAATCTGATTGGTTCAGACCGCTACTACGGGAACTATACCTCGGACCTAAACAGAACAGAAGAAGAAAACATGTTAGTTGTGTATTTCATACAAACAAACATTCACTAATGGAGCCTGTGAGTTAGTTCAGGCAGTCAACCCGAGCTGCACTGCTATACACACACAACACCCTTTCCAATCTGGCGGTCTATTTAAGCTGCAAAATTTCTCAGCTCTCCCTCTGCTCTGTCAAATGCTGCTGCTGCCCTGCATCAGTATTGCTGCCTTCTGCTCTGTAAGCCCCACCACCACCCCA